CTGGTTCTTTGTCGAAGTAGACAATGGAGCAACAAAGTTGTAGTGGCATTGTCCATTAGCGAAATTTCGACTATCCATTGTTTGTACCATAAAATTAATTCAACTGAAATATCCATATACGGGAGAAGTATGAACTACCCCTCGTGTGTGCATTTTTGTTACACACGTATTTGTCGTGAACGAAAATTTTTCACTTTCTACCGGGAACATTAACGAAACGTTTGAACAATTATTTGTGTCAAATGAATTTTACTCAAAAATTTACAATGTTTTTCCTTGTGAATTGTATACAGCGTTCCAGATTTAGAATCTGCAAGGTGGATATAAAAACAGGCGATGGTGGTAGAGAATATCGACTATTCCGAACGATCTCGTTAAGAGAGCTTTTCATGCGAATTAACGAGACACACACCGAACGCGAAAACCGTCGCAGCACGAATTCCACCCCCGGATTTATGCCTAGGGTTTCGAGCAATCGCTGACCGACGTTCAAAAGAAAAAGCATACTTTCCTCGCGTTTGGCACTTTCAATCGACTCGATAGCGCCCTTTGCTCTCTGCTCCTTGCTCGAACGAATAGCAGGAGTACGAAAGGGTAGAGTCAGAATCACGGGCCGTGTCATCTTGCCTGACCCAAATAGGAAAATTGCTGGACAGAGTTCACCGACGAAATGTCAAACGATTCGAATAATCGCCGTTTCTCTTTACACCTTGCCTCGGTTCTTTTGTCCTTTGTTCCTAAACGCGTTAAAAAAGAATACCATCGATCGAACGGTGATTTCGTCACCAAAGAAATCGACGATTCGATCAAACCACGAAAAATCCTCGTGATTGTTTCAGCGAATATTGCGTCGTGAAAAATATATTTTTCGAGGTAGGCTTTTTAAAAAAAGGATTCGAGTTTCGCTTTGTAAATCAAACGATTTTTAATCGCTTCGTCGCTTGATTCGTTTATTCCGATAAAAATCACCGATTCCGTAGAAAAACGACTGATAAGCGAAATTTTATGGCCCGATATCGGCATATAACAACGGATCGTCTCGGAGTTTCTCTATCGACGATGTTTTGCGCTACGCAGTCGGTGGTGAAACGTTGCCGATAAAAAATAGACGAGAAGAATAAAGAGATCAGAACTCGCCAAGACTTTTCGTTTACGCGTACGTGATTTCCGGCGTACGATCGCAATTGCGGGAATATTTTACACGAATCTTATAGCAGTTCTCGTTACCCGCGCCTCGTTTCGAAATCGAACGTGACCTGTTAGGAACAAAGTCGTTGCAAAAAATTGCTGTAAGAATTAATTAATTTCACCGTTACGTTGCACTTTATAATCGAGCGCTAAATCGTTACTTTGCATTTTCCCGGCAAACGTATCTCATTAGTTTCTTTTCTTTATTCAATTATGACCTACTGTAATCTCGCGCTTGCTCTCTATCTCATGATTGAACGCGTAGGAAGTTACGAGTGTTTCTCTATCTTTGGAAAACGCGTAGGACGAGAGAAAGAGAGGGAGAGGTTGTTCAACAAATCACGTTGCTCTTTCCGTTGTTCGACTTGGTGCGCGCGAGAGAGCACGCGGAAGCAATCCCTTTAAATGCAAGCATCGTGTAAAAATAAAAAGTAGCGGCGTCGCGAACAGACTAGACTACGGATTCGTCACGGCCGCGCAGATTAAACAATTATTTTCGACGACGCTTTTCCGCGCGGAGTTATTTCGTTGTTTCGCGTACGGGCGTGAAAAACAAAGCGTCCGAGAGGAATGGTTTACGACTTGCCGTGGAACGGAGCGGCAAATTTGGGGACGTTAATGTCCGTCTGTCGGTCCGGTTGGCTGGTCGCACGAGACGAGCGCCGGAAACGGAAACGCGGATCGAGAAAGAGACGGAGGGCGGCCGGCTGGAGTTGCGACGACCGATTTCCGGGATTTGCCTGACGTTTAATGAACGCTGGCAGACGTTTTGATTTACAGGACAGTTTGATTTCCGAGCGGGGCACAATAACCGCCAATTTGTAAATCGGCTCGTAAATCTGGATGGGCAGCTACGGCACGGGCAACCCGCCGAGGCCGACGCGAGTCGACGCATCGACGCTCGTTGCCGACGTTCGTTGCTAACGGCCATTTGTCCGAAATTGGATTAAACAATCGGCGCCGTTAACGGCCACCGCGTTTCGCGTATTACCGGTAAACAGACTCGTAAAAACGATATAATAATCGTTAGCCCCTGTACAAGTGTCGCGACAATTTTCCGATTACCATCCGATGCGTCCATGTGTTTTCCTCCGAGAGCCTCCGTTTACCGCTCCTATGAATATTCACAATATTTATACGACCGGTAACTATTCCCGATTTTCGACCGAACCACCGTTCCGCGTCGCAAAAATAACCGGGAACGATGAAAATCCTCCAAAGTTATCGCGGATGGCAGAATTCCCATGTACCATCTCTTTCGAATCGTATATCGTAAAATTCTCTACTATCGCAGAAAAATATTCTCTTGTAAACGGCTGACAATTTTATTAGCGTGACGAAAGTCAATTAATTCCTCGTTCGTAACATATCTTATATCGCATAAATATATTTAAACCTGACTAGTGTAATGGCTCCATGACGCGGAAACGGTATACTGAAGTTAGGTAACTAAAAGTTAAAAAATCGAGGATGATTGCAACCGAAACATCGATGTTAACATCGTAGGTTTATCAAACGGCTCTCCGCATCGCTTGCTCGCCAACAGACGCTTCAAATCCGCATCTAGTTCTATTATTACACGTCACTCCGTTCGCCGTGCGTTTTTCGAAATATACGAGACACGATGAATCGATAGAAAAGGCGAGATCGCGGGCTAACACGAAGCTTGTTTAAACTTGTTGCCTGAAGCAGGAAAGTTTGCGAGCGTTTATTAGTTGGCAATCCGTGACGAGATAGGGTAATGGATAATACCGATGGCCATGTGTAACTTCTCGTTGTACACTTGCTAACCCGTCACGGTTGCTGGAAAGGAGTTTACGACGAAAAAAAAAATGAAAAAGAAGAAAAAAAAAGAGCGCAGGCAACGATAGCGTCAGTGAACGGGCGTCGTGTCGTTAACCGAGTTTACTAATTATGGGTCGAGCACGATAACTGGAGTTACCCTGGTAATTTCAACGCCGTGGATGTGTAAAAGCGTGATGTAATAACAAGAGCCGCTTTACCGAAGTGGCCGTGTGATATTACTCTAAAAATCTCCGTTAATTAACTCGTAAAACTTGTAATAACGCAATGAATCAAGTAGCGCGGCTACCACTTCGCGTTCGAGCAGTTTACTTTGGCAATCGACAAAAAAAAACTCATCGTGACAATGTTACCCGGGGAAACGTGAAATTTTTATATCAACTTTAATCTGCACGATCGGACGAAACTTTTGTTCAGATTAAACGACGAATCGTGTTTGCCTGTAACTTTGCGCGTTGGAGACATCATAGTTCGCGTTATACTTGCGGGACAAGTGAATTGTGAATTGTATTCGGCTTCTGTAGCGAACACGGTAAACTTCTGTAGGGAAAATGGCGGAGGGAAGAAAGGAAGTTATAACAGTTGCTGTAATATTTGAAAGTTACCACGCATTATGACTAGTTTGTACGAGACCTCTTTCCCTTAAATAGCTATACAGGGTGTTAACGAGTAAGCAAGGGGTGAATCTTACGAAAAAAGGTAGAATGAAATTTTTGTAGTGGCGCAAAAGTGCAACGTTATTAGCGAGATTGCTTTCCGGAGATCATTAACTCGTATATTTTTAAGATCTCTCTCGAGCTCGATTAATAATCACCTGAGCGAATCGCAAGAATTTTAAACGTTTGTTTCTTTTTCCTTATTTATTTAGCTTACACGTACTAGGAGAAATCGCGTATAATAAGTAATTAGCGAAATACGCGAGACCTCGGAGAGAACGATAAAATAAATTCAGCCGACGTTCCCGTTACTTTAATCATTAGCTCGAAATATCGGCCTCTCGGGTCAGCGAGAGCGGTTCGCATCAGCGCAACTTGTGCTTCGCGTCAACTAAAAAAAAAGAGAAAAGAACTGTTCCACGAAAATTTAATTTAGGAACTCGTTCGTATTATATTTTTGTTAATTAGTCGAATTTAAATTTCAATTTGTTTGTAGATTAGCCATTTGCTGCACCGACGCGCCTTGTTTCCCGCGCGTTCAAGTTCGTTCTCCTAGCACCGAAATAAAACGATAGAAACGTTTGACGCGAGATCAATTTTAAAAACGCGTCCCTTTGTTTCCGACGATTTTTTTCGAAAACTTGCAACGGCGCTCTCTGTTCAAATAATAATTTACTCCGTGACTCGCTTGGTGAAAATTTGAATTAATTAATAAGATTTCTCGATTCGGATAGTAAAATCCTTTAGACTCGTTTTCAAAGACTCTCCGTTGACGCCCTCGAACTTATCGACCATTCGTTGCTCTCTGCAAATGCTCACTACCGGAGAACCTATATTTTCATTCGCCCCATTCATCGACATAACTCAAAGGTTGATTTCTATGGACGACACCATAGGTATTCATCCGACGCAGGAGACTACCGTCTATATCTTTTCGAGAGGTTGTACATATATTACAGCCCAATAAACCTGATTAACACATTGGGTGTTCGTTAATTATAGCATTCCCCTATTACACTGACTTAGCCGTGCGTTAATGATTTCACGGTCTTGTGGACTTCCGACGTATCGCGTCAATACGCATTCGAATCCTAGAACAGAGTAGGATGCCATATTTACATATTCCTGTCACGTTCACCCGATATCGCGGCCTTAATGACAGACTTGGCTTATTTATTAATTGCCAGCAATCCTTTTCAAGCTGGCTTATCGATCAACCCTCGCAGCTTTGTTCACGTGTTTCCTACAACCCCTTAACGTGCTTTACTATTTCGTACGACAAAACACGAGGGCAAACAACAGCTTATTATCCCATGATTTATTACGGTTGTTAACTCTTTTTTCCTGTCGCAGATAAGCTTCGAGATACAACGCCTGGAACGGTAACAAAATGGCGGACAATCACAGAAGAAGACGTTATCTGACTATCAGTATACTTCACATCATCACCATCATGTGCCAAGGTAAGTTATTTTTCAACTTCTACGAATCATTAACGACTGACGCTGTAGAAATGTTTGTCTGATTATATTCCATTGTTAATCGAGAATTATAGTTCGTTTGTGATTCGATCGTAATTATAGAATTATTGCTCGATTTAAACGAGCTATGATCAAAGATTCATTGGCGATGTAAATTACTGTAAGGTTAACGCTTATCCATTTTGTCGACGATCTGTAGGTAAGATGATATCGCGTAATTGAAATAGAAATGTTCTAATATTCAAATTAAGATTATTCGGATATTGGAAGGTTTGCCAGTAAAATTAATAATAAATCGATAGACCTGCCAATCACCCGGGAATTTGATTTCCTGTGTTTCTATTTTCACCAGTTCCAGGTAACATTAAACACATGAAATATTAATATTTCAATTTCTGATTTACAATAATTCAGTCTCCAATTATCCGATTAAACCAATAAAACGTGTAAACTAATTTTTGCTTCTATACCTAAATCTTGGTTAGAATTCAAGAAAGAAGCGGGATTGCGAACTGCTTCGTAATTCGGAATTCTTGAACGTTCGCATTTCGAGCATTTACACGAAAGAAAAGTATTTCGCGTAATACGTGTTAGATCTACGGCGACGAACTCTAATGGAATTCACGTAATTACGAGGGAAACGTAGCAACTACGAACGGCTGGATAAATAATTACTAACGTGGGAAAATAATGGTGGTTTATATCAAGTAAATTAGCGTTATATTTCGATTAGATTCGCGACGCAAACTTGCCTGGTATTCGGTCACCGAAGTTGAGCGAAACGCGCCAACTATTTGTACGGATGCCTTGCAAAGGCGGCAGAAATTTTCGAACTCTTCAGATTTCTCGTCGAAGCATCGAAAGAACGTCTATTAGTTTTATTGCATTCTTCAGGAAGATTTAAGATAACTACCAGGAATTAAAAGACTGTATTCTTTACAAAAAATGATTTTTATTAATTCTTATTCGTTCGCGCGTCATTCGATAATAATATGATAAGATCGATAGCTTTGACGTGCATTTCTAAGCCGCTAAGAGGCAGCACTTATTGTATCGCGTTACTCGGATTATAAAATTATGGCAAACTATCAAGAACGACACGATACGTTCGAGTAACGATAGTAGTTTCGAGAGCATACATTTTTGGTTCTTAAGCGTAATTCTGGCGCAAGTGCAACATTATTATCTATCATGCCAGCAGACATTCACGTTCCGTACTAATTGCTTGCACGCAGTCCTCGTGTTTCCCTCTTCAAACACCAATAATTTTCCCACTCCTATCTACTACACCTCGCAAGAACAAATTCATCTTATCGTTCTCTTCGGTTCAACCATTCAGTTGCTCGTTAAATTGTAAAGTAGCTTAAATGCCTGCTGAAAAACGGGCCCTTTATTGCATTTCGCTGCTGGCTTGAAATTTCATCGATGCTTCTTCAGGTTGTGCGTTAATAACGTATGAATAAATTGATTAGAAGATACACGAGCTCCAGAGTACTTTTCCATTATCCCAACTGTAATATATGGCTTATGAAACCAGTTCACTAGGTCTGAGAGAGCGAACTTTTTGGGATAACTAATATTTATGGTACACGTATTAGTACAGAAAATTCGAAATTTCATAATGCAGCGCGTAATTCGAAATATTGTAGTGCAGTGAGTGGTGGTTTGAAGCGTGATAGTTCAACGTGTGGTGAGTCGGTGCGTGGGAGTTTAACGCGTGATAGCTCGGTGCGTAATAATTCGACGCGTGGAAATTCGACGCGTGGTAATTCGGCGCGTGGTACTTCTAATGCGTGGCAATTCCACGCGTGGTAATTATAATGGATGGTAGTTCCACGCGTTATAATTCTACGCTTAGTAATTCCACGCGTGGTACTTCCACACGTGGTAATTCCACGCGTAGTAATTCTAATGAATGGTAGTTCCACGCGTGGAAATTCTACGCGTGGTAATTCCACGCGTGATAATTCTACGCTTAGTAATTCCACGCGTGGTAATTCTAATGCGTGGTAATTCCACGCGTAGTAATTCCAATGAGTGGTAGTTCCACGCGTGGTAATTCTACGCGTGGTAATTCCACGCGTGGTAATTCCAATGAGTGGTAGTCCCACGCGTCGTAATTCTACGCTTGGTAATTCCACGCGCGGCAATTCCAATGCGTGGTAATTCTAATGAGTGGTAGTCCCACGCGTGATAATTCGACGCGTGATAAGTCGACGAATTGTAGTACAACGAGTGATGGTTTATCGCGTGATAGTTCGATGCGTGGTTGTTTAACTCCTGATAGCTCGGCTCGTAGTATTTCTTCATGCGATCATTTGACGCGTAGTGAATTCTTGCTTGATGATTCGTAGTAATTCGACTCGTTTAGCGCGCAGTAATACAAACGTAGAGGCACAGCGCGGTTCGACACGTATAGCGATACGATATGTAATAGTCGCACGCATGGTAATTTAACTCCTTGCCCTACAATAACATGTCACGCTTGTGACGCACGCCACACTTGAAATGTCATAAATCACACCCGTATTTTCACTGCAATTGAATTTTAGGTTCAATTAAAATTATAATCTGCATAATGTATGAAATGTGTTTAACATTTTCTGTAGCTGCCTTAACGTTACAGCGATAATTATCCAGCTCTTAATGAATTAAAAAATAACAGATTAACGCAAAGCGTGAAACAAAAAAATATTTCAATAGGGATTGCAAGATTTAAGATGAAATTTTAGGGTCGAATAAAAGCTGCAGAGAGCAACTCTTGCAAGTATCTCGAATGAAAAAGTGAGGACCATCAGTAAACGCTGATAAAACACATTGTGAGTCGGTGGTGGTGGTGTTAATCAATTTTCCATTCAACGTGCAATATCTTGCCGTGATATCGGGCCAGGTTGGTTCAATGGGTAAAAGCCGATGCAGGAAGTCTTAAGATCACGGAGACGGCAAACCAAGCGATGGGTTTCGTAATTATCGCTAAATAAGAAGGTAGCCCGGTCTCTCTCGCTCTTGCGTCTCTGAACAAGATATATTAGAGGGGATCGAGGTAAATTCTGAAGTGCTTTAGTGGCCGTTTCCCAAGTTTTAAACGATTTGACGCAGCAATAGCCACCTTGCAACGGTCGCCTTAACGAACACGCGACTATCTTAACCCTTTCATTGCTAACGATGGCTATCGCTGCTCTAGAAATTTCCTTTGAAGTGTATCCGGAGTGTATGCGATGTTTTATCGATATTCACGCTCCGATCTGTCGCTTTATAAGCCGACTACTCGAACGCTTCGAGCGTCAAATTATCCAAATATTTTCTATTGAAATTTTTTTAACGAACGCGCCGCTGTTTGAGCATTTGTTATATCGTTGTTAGGCGTCGCGAGTGCGTCAGAGATTTACTTCTGGTTTCAATTTCTACGCGGTTTCAGTCGATTCGCGTGTCCTCTGTTTACTCTCCTCTTCCAAAACCGTATATTTTCACGTCGAATTTTTCCTGCTCGCGTACTGAAATTTTATCGGAAAATTTCATTCAATACCGTTCACTTTAGTTTACGCAGATATTTGTAATTTTTGCGCAGCCGGACCTTGCTGCAACGGCAAACAGAGAAAGGAGCGGAAAATATTATTTTCCGATAAAAACCGGCTCTCGTCTACGAACAATTTATACCGGTTTGTTCTAAACAACATGGAAAACATTCGAAGCTTCGCAGATGTTCGGTCCGCAATGATTCACGGTTGCGTTTTCATTGTTTTCGCGTATTACAATCAAAACAACAATCTGACGAGATCAATTTATCGCCGATAAGAAAGAGGAATCGAGTCGCGTTACAGGGTTCGTTTCAAATTAAAACTCCGTCGAACATTTTTCCATCCTTGTCCGTCTTAATTTGCGTTTCGAACGGTCGCTCGAAAGGAAAGCTTCGATCCGGGCCGTTATTCTATCAACCGGTTCGTTAAAATGCACCTTGACGTTCCTCCATCGTAAATGCTACCTCCTCCCTTATCCGAAAGTCTTCCATTGGTCTGATGAAAGAAAATTACTGCGGCGTTGTAACGATTTGATCAGGGATCATTAGGTTTCTACCCAACCAGTCTTCCACGTTGCTTTGAACTGTCTCGAAGAACGCGACGACAAATGCCCTGTAGCATTGTTCCGTGTCACGCGAAAATTAAGAGAACGAGATGTCAAAACCGAGGACATCGCAGTTTCTTCGAATGAAATTTCCGTGCTATTTCTCTTACCAAAAATTAGACACAGCTTCCGTTATTCGTCGTAAAGCGAGTTACGGAGCTAGCACGCGTTGTAATTTCGTGCCGCTTTGAGGCACTAATTTAAATACATATTAATATAACGCGTATGCAAGATCCGTCGACGAGTCAGGGACACAGGACCATGTCGACGCCAACAGGAGCTCAAGACTTTACGTGTCAGCCAATAAACACAGCCTCCTATGCATACGAACGAAGTCACGCGAGTGGATCCTCTTTGGCCCTGTCGTCTGAACCCTTTCCGTTTATATTGGCAACGATTGTACTCTTAGTTCTTTTCAATCGTATACTCGTTAAGAGGGGATCCTGCTTTAGCAGCCCTAAAAAGAGCGTTTTTTAGGGAATTTTTTTAGGACAGAAAAGAAAGGTGACCCTAGTGAACCTTTTAGATTATTTTACTACATGTTTGAACAAGAAAAAAACAATTTTTGTACAGAAAAATATTCAAACGCAGCCGATTTTTATGCACGTCTGTGCAACCCTTTCAATTGCAGTCTCCAATCGGCGGGAAAGATGCAGTTCGTAATTTTCGTCTGAAATTAAAAATTTCGTTTGAAATTAAAAAACCAAAGACAATTCTAATTTTCAGTCTTTCCTTCTATTTGAACTAAAAAAATTCACGAAAAATATTTTTAAACAACTTTTTTAGCAAGTTGAAACAATTTTTTTTTTTCAAAAAAAGGAAAATTTTCTTCAAACCTGAGAAACTTTTACAATTTCACA